CTGAAGGGGGGCTCTGAGGTATCCTAGACTCCCGGCTCATGCCTCATTAAGAGAAAATCCTGAGGCAATAAGGATACGTGCAGGGCTGTAAATGATTGCTAGGGTGTGTTGTGCAGGCTCTGGCAAAGTCCAGGCACTGTCCTCTTGTAAGAGTCTGTTCTGACCTCAAGATATCTCTGTGTATACAGAAACTGTAGAACGTATTTGCCTCCTAATGAGTGAGAGTGGGAGTTTGTTCCATTTGAAATGGTCAATGGACCTTTTGGGATGTTTGCTGCTTTCATTACAGTTGTTGATCTTGCTTCTTGGACCTTGACTGGCCCCTGCTAGTATGAGCTGACCTGCTTTCTGGCTTGCCCCATCCATGCACTGATGGTAGTGCGGGACAGACCCCTTGTTCTGAAGGGAACAATCCACATGCATCTGATGTTTCTGCAATCCCAGACTCACCATCTGCTCAGAAATGGAGCAAAATTCTCAAATGTGTTGGTGCAGTCTAGAGGGTGTGAGGCCAGGGGTGCTGTCGGAGCACCTTCATCTCCCCATCTTCCTCCCTTTCCTCCCCACCTCACTGAAAAAATGAGGTGCTCACAGCCCTCTCACAATGCCTCTCCTGCCAATCAGCCTCCAGCACCCTTCATCTGCAAGCACCCGATCAAACCCTCTGCAGAGCACCCCAGGGAAGGTGAGGCTGTCTCCTCTGCTCACCGCTCCCTCTGGCCCCAGGAGCAGCAGTCTGGGAAGCAGCTGCTTTGCATCCCCCTAGCCACAACCTCCTTCAAGTCCCATCCCATCCCCCCTCCACTCAAATTCAAGGTGTGCCCTTCTCAGGGAAGGGGAGAAGAAACCTGCAGAACAAGAGACCCAGGGCAGGAACACAGGATATGCCAATGAGTCCACAGCCAGCTGGGATCCACTGGCCCTTTGGAGCTGCCAGAGGGCAGATGGAACAGCTTTATGTAAGAGCAGGGCAGCATCGCTCTGGGTATGTGGGGAGGAAGGGAGCCAGGCTGGGCTGGCTCAGGGCTGCAGGGCAGGATGGAGCTGTGCTTGCTGAGCCTGCTGGCAGAGGTTCATGCTGATGGCTGAGGAAGCGGTTAGCAGTGCAGGTTACAGGCCTGGAACAGGAGAGCAGGGTAAGCATGGAATTCCCCTGCTGTTTTCCTCCCCTCTATTGCTGCCATTTCCTCTACTGAACAAGTTTTTCTTGTGTGAATTGTTTGCATGATTTCCTAATGCTCCACTCAGCCAAAATAAGGAGCTGGGAGCGAACTGTCCCTGCAGATCAGGACCTTATCTAGAGAGGGAGAAAAATTTATCAAAGCAAATTCAACTGAATACTGGATCCTGTGTCTTAGGTGGTTCTGGAGTGAGATGGTGAAGGGAGAGGCTGCTTTGAGAATGAGGTGTCTTACTCTACAGATGGGGGGATCTGCATTGTCAGACCCTTTCCTAGAGAGATGGAAAAGGATAGTCAGAGAACTGGTGGGACTTTATCAGTTCTGCTTGTGTGTCAGAGCTGGGTATCACCCTTAACCTGTTCTCCTGCCTCCAGTCCTCGTGTGGAAACTTTCCTGCCTGACACTTGAGGTCACTCAGAAGCTGGAGATGGACAGCACTGTGGAAATGGATGCTCTCCTGTGCCTCAACTAGGACCAGTTTGGGCGTGGTGTGTTCAGACCAAGGGACATCCCCAGGGATAGCCCCAACCTCTCTGCTCCAGGGTTGTTATCTCTCTGATGACAGCTAGATCACTTTGTGCCAGGAATGTCCTGTGCCCATGGGACCTTTGTGATTCAGAGTGCTGAATCCTTTTGTGCCAGGATGGAGCTGGTGAGCAAGTGGAAAAGCTGAGAATGAACCCAACAGTCTGTACTGCTGCCACGTTTCCCCTGCCCACAGCTCCTCCATCCCTTGCTGTTTCTAAAACTCCCTGTTGCCCTTCCTGAGAGTTCCCGCTGGGCACCCACCCCCCTAGCTGCAGCCAGGAGAACTGCAGGGAGGAGCGTGGGGAGGGAGGGAGCAGTCAAACAGAGGCAGAGGAGAGGCGTGCAGGCAGGCCAGGGAAGGGCAAGGGTCTGAGCATGGCAGGGTGTAGGGCTTGTTCTGGCAAAAGGACGCGGCCGTGGCTGGGTGAGGAGCGGTGTCTGGCAGCGAGCGGGTATCTCCATCGCCACGCCCTGGCTCTGGGGCTCAGCAGGGAGCAGCAGCCTGTCAGTGGCTGCCGTGGCACAGAGAGTTGTCCTTGTTGCCTTGGCCAGAAGAAATGGAGACTGGAATGATGCCTGTGCCTCAGGTCTCCTCAGTGTAGGAGGTTTCCTGGGTTAGCAGGAGACAATCCCAATTGCTGGTTGGCATCACAGCCCATGGCACAGGGTGCCTCAGTGCACACGTGCTCTTGGTGGGCTCATCCCAGCCCGCTGGCCTTGCCATGATTAATCTGGGTAGCTCAAGGTTCTTGCAGCCATTTCAGGAAGTTGAGGGCTGGCAATGAGGAAAGGCGGGAACGAATGCAGAAATGAGAGTGCAGGAGGAGGCTGCACGCCGGTGGAGAAGGACGGGGGAGGGGAGAAAACAATCCTTCAAAGCAGGCGCATCTCGGCTGCAAGATGAAAGCTTGAGCTCTGACCAGGTGGGGATGGTCACCCCCATCACCTCTGCACCATGGATGCCCAAACTTGCTCAGTGTCAGCTCAGACCCGAGCGACTGCACCGCCTTGTTGAGCTGCAGAGGCATCCAAGCTGGGAAGAGTGAGGTGCCGGCAGTGACAGAGGGCTGCTGGGGGTTTCCACCACCTCCCCAGGGTGACTGCCCCACTTGTCCCCACGTGACAGTGTGGTGTGGCGTGGGTAGTGGCAGAGGGGCTGGGGGGATTCCTGGGGTACAAGGGCTGGCTGATGTGGAACACAACCCTGGGCACTGCTTTCTCCCCTGGGAGCCCAGAGTAGCTCTGGAAAGTGAAAGCAGCAGCGGTTTAAAGTTCAAGCTGAATTGCTTCGGAAAGTCCCCTGTCTGAACAGTCTTATCTCTGCCATACCTGTAAAAGGCAGATCCTGTGGCCTCCTTCTGCATGTGGTGCCTGGGAGCGGGTTTGGAGAAACAGGGGCTGTCCCTGGAAGTGGGCAAAGGACACCTCAGCACAGGTGCTGCCACAGGGACTGAGGACCTGATGCAAAACCAAGCAGGGAATCTCCCTGTTGGATCATACCCAGGCTAGGGTCAGTGAAAGCCTGATGAGGGGAGGAGTATTCTTGCAGCTGGTCCCCTTGCTCCTGGCCTGGGCCCCTTGGCTGTGCCTCTGCCCCACAGTCCCCCGTGGGTGGTCAGACCTTGTCCGTGGGGCTGCATGGCCCCTGCTCTGGGAGTGCTGCTGGTGAGGGGGCACCCCATGGCTGTGCAGAGGCAAATGTGGGTGGGTGGCCTCTCCTTCCAGTGGGGAATTCCCTGCTGCAGCATGACCTGGGGCTTCCCCAGGGACAAAGCCTCTCCTGTTGGATACAGCCTCTCTCCTGGCAGCAAGGTGGAGAGAAACTTGTTTTGCCGTCAAAACTGGGGCTTAGCTGGAGGTCCCTGGCGTTCCAGGTGCTGGCTTGGCCTTTGAGCAGCACTTGGAAGGAGGTGAATAAAGGACATTTTTGGGGACTGGCCTCTGAGCTTCTCAGCACAATCAAATCCTCACTGCAACTGGCGAGAAGGCAGCCCCAACCCTTCTTTTTTTCTGCAATGTTTAAGGTGTTGCTCTCCTGTCTATAGAGGGATGCTCTCTGTCCCCCACAACGCGGGTAGCATCTCAGAGCTGGGCTGTCCAGCAAGCAGATTGTCTTGCCAAGACTGGCACAGCTCTCACCCTCCATCCCTTGGCCCTGCCTGCCTCAAACAAAGCTGCTTAGAGCCCAGCCTTTAGTTTGGAGCTGATCCCTGCCAGAGACAGGCTACCCAGGGCCCCCAGCATAGCAGTGAGGAGGTGGCAGGAGGCTCAGCTCATGCCTGCCATGCTCTTCAGAGTGGGAGCTGTTGCCTGCTCCTTGCTGCTGCCCACCATGGCTAGGGTCAGCCCAAAGGGGCTGCCCTGTGGTGGGAGGATGCCTGATGCCAGGGGGCCCGGAAGTGCAGCAGGTTGGCGGAGGAGACTGGAAATTCCCTCTTGCCTCTGCCTCCATTGTGCTCTCACTTCTGTTCTGACTGTGAAGGGGCCGGCTGGAAATAAAACTTCTCCTTGGACTGTGGGACTCTGGGCTGCCCAACCACCCCGTGGCTGTGAGGGCCATGGTCCTGAGGACTAGGGCTCCCTGCTGGCCACCAAGCTCTGACAGCTGCACCTCTGGTGTCCCTCTAAGCCGGCAGCTGTGTGCCAGCCCTGCCACAACTGTGCTGGAAGGAAAGGATGTGGGGGAGAGAAGAGGAAATCGGTGTGGACCAGCAGATCAGGTGGCGTGGGGGCTGTGCCACAGAGGTGATCTTGGACTAGCACCAGGCTCCTGCCCAGCTATGGCTGCTTGCCTTCAGGGAGGGGAAAGCAGAAGTACAGTGCACAGCTGGACGTAGGGAACTGGAATTCCCCGGGCAGCTGCCAGAGCCTAGACCTTCCTCCACAGCTGCCAAACCTGTCCTGTGGGCTCTGGGAAACACATCCCAGGCTCTGGACCTGCACCAGTTGGAGGCCTGGCTTTGCATAGTGGCAGGTCCAAGCCCCATGCGTGCTGTGAGGTCCCAGGGAGGACTCTGCATTGCTTAGCAGGGTCAGGAGGGTCTGTTCCCTGTGGGGATCAGAGTGAAGGACTGCCCTGGAGAGCCTCAGGCCATATTCCTGCCTTGGCCTTCTGCTGAGCTTCCCCAGGGAGAGGGCAGAATTGAGGAGCTCCGAGCTGGTGGGAAGGGGATTGGAGGAGGCAGAGAGATTATTCCTTCATGCAGCAGTGAAGGATCTCCACTCCTGAGCATGGCACTCGGGACTCATTTTTCATTTTTGTTTTCTCCTGTCCCCTTTATCCTTCCATAGGTTGGTTCATCTGGCCATTATCCACTGTGTCCCAGCTGTAGCACTCTGCTGCATTGCTCAGCTACCCAGGGAGGTGCTGGAGATACAAAATGATCTTTTCCAGGTATGCAGTTGTGATAGGCAGAAGATGGGAGGAAGGGAGATGCCGCAGGCAGTTCCCTGGGTAGACACCCAATCCATCTGCCCTTTCCCCCAGACCCCCCACCTGCTCCCACATGAGGAGCTCCTTTTCAGGGAGGGGAAGAAGGGTGGTGGAGACACCCTGAGAGAGAGGTGTGACAGCTCCCAGCACTGTGGGATGAAGGGTCTTTTGCAAAGCCTCAGGACATTGCAGACAACCCCAGAGGGTGGGAGCAGGCACAGCTTGAATGTGGATGGCAGTGTAGATGGGAGAGTGAGATGTGTCCCCATGGGTGATCCCTGAGCTGAGGTGCAGGGGACAGCAAACCATTGGCACGCCCCCCAGTGTCCGCCACGCATAACCTCAGGACAGGGATGGGGCTCTCCTGCATGGCAGCCTGTGCCGCCAGGCTGGCTCCTGTAGACTGGTGTGGCTCATCACATCTGGTGTCCTGTGGGGCATCCTCCCCTTTCCTAATTTCTCTCCAGACCCCGCTCCATCTTGCTGTGTACCTGGAGCAGCCCCGCGTGATCCAGGCACTGATCCACAAGGGAGTGAACCCCGGGCTGCAGGACCGCAATGGCAACACCCCGCTGCACCTGGCCTGTGAGCAGCAGCACCTGCAGTGCGCCCAGCAGCTGCTGGAGAGCACAGCCCCACCAGAGGGCACAGCTCAGCCCCACAGGCACCACCAGGACCTGCAGCTCCAGAACTGGCAAGGTGAGACCTGGGGTCAACCCAGTGCAGAGCTGGTGGCCAGGTTGGGGCAGAGACCGTGACTTGTGTATGCAGGGATCCTGGAGCACAGCAGAGCGAGCATGCAGCCATGATTGGTGTGCCATGGGGTGGTCCGGGCTGACTGTGGCTTTCTCTTCTGCCTCTCCATCACAGGCTTGGCCTGTCTCCACATCAGCACCTTGAAGGGGAACATCCCAATGATGTCTCTGCTGCTTGAAAGTGGTGCCAACATCGATGTTCAGGTAAGACTGGGTATGGTGTGATGTTTTGGCAAGGCTGGGCCAGTGTGTCTCTCCCTTGGGCACTCCCTTCAGCCTTGGGGCAGGCACTGCTGTGAGGCTTGAAGGCACTGAATTTTGAGAGAGCAGAGAGTAAAGGTCCTTGAGGGGCTCGTGGGTGCTATAACAGCAGTCAGGGTGGGGACTGCCCCCTCTGCACCTTGTCAATGGGGTGTCGGGTGGGTGCTGTGGGGCCCAACTGAGGGGCCCCGCACCCACACCCTTGTGATCTGTGGGTTGCAGGAGGGCACGAGTGGGAAGACCCCCTTGCACCTGGCTGTGGAGTGCCACAACCGCAAGGCTGTCCAGTTCCTGCTGCGCAACGGGGCGTATGTGGATGCCCAGATGTATAATGGTTGCACCCCGCTCCACCTGGCTGTGGGCCGCAAGGATGCTGCCATTGCCGCCATCCTCTCACACTCTGGGGCTGACACTCTGCTGAGGAACATGGAGAATGAGACAGCCCAGGACCTGGCTGATGGCAATGATGATGTGAGTCTCTGTGGGGGGAGGCCTGTGGCTCTGACAGCTGGTCACGGGGTGCAGGAGTTGGATGATGTGGGGGGAGCTCCTAGGAGGAGTTTGCTGCTGTTCCCATCCTTCCCTGTAGGGTGCAGGCATTGGCTCTGGGGTGTGTGGGAAAACTGTCTTTTGCCTCGAGACTTAGGGAAGCCCAGACAGGGTTTCTTTGCACTTCCCTAGGGAGGTGGGCGACCGCAGTACTGGGTGGGGGAAAGGTTTGGGCCCCTACTCCAGCTCGCTAGAGACACAACCCCCGATCCTTACATGTCCATACCCTTGGCTTCTGCAGCTCCTCGCCTTGCTGCCCTTCGATGACCTGAAGATCTCAGGGAAGCCTGTTGTGTGCTCTGAATGAGCAGCTGGACTCCTTTGGCCTATTGGGCTTACTCCTTGCTCCGTGCTGCTGCCTGCTGGAACCTTGCCTGCCTGCAGTTCCGTAGGAGCAGAGTCACTCTGGGAAACTTATTCCCCCGCTGCTCTGCTCTTTGGAAAAGTTTTGTTGGCCTCAGGCTGCCTTCACAGACAGAAGAAACTGGCATTTTGAGCACTACACAGGGGAGGCTTTTCTTTCAGTATCTGTACACTGCAGCAGGACTGAATTTCCCCTCCTGGCCGTGGGCCTGACTTGTGGGGGTCTCCAGCATAAACAGGGAAGGAGCAGGAGAGGACTCGTTTTCACACTGTTCGGCGGATGGAGCATCCTCTGGCACCCCCAAACGCCATCAGAATAAGTGTGGGGTGAGGAGAGTCTACACTCACTCTAATAAATGTTTGTTGTTGCTGTGGGCACCAGAGGTCTCATGTGATCTAACCCATCCTGCACCCCCACAGCATCAGGAGGCTGAGCATTACACCAAGGGCCACGGACATGAGGGCTGCAGGGGTTTCCCCCGTCTGCCCACTCCCTCGGGTCCTTTGCACCACAGAAGGTGAGTAGGAGTGCAGGGGCTTCCCCACTTGCAGAGCCTTTCTAGTGCTCAGGGCCAAGACTGGGAGATCCCAGCCTGGTGCTCTGTTCCCATGCTGTGCTGTCAGGCTGCAGGGCTGAAGAAAAATTGTAGGAAATGCCGGAAGACCAGGTTATGGATCCCTGCTTCTGCTGTTGTGCCTGATATCTTGCTGCTTTACCATGCTGTGGTTTCCTCTTTCGCAAAGAGGACAAAAGATCCTGCCCAATCTCCTGGCTTGAAAGGGTATTAAAAACTTACGGCATGGGTCTTCCCTGGGTTTTAGATTCCCCCAGGCTGAAAGTGGTCGAGATGGCAGTATTATCTCCGTGCAACATCCTTTCTGTTGTTCAGCTCACCACCCTTCCTTGCCCCCCTCTCCAGCCAGAGGAGCACGTGTGATGCACATGCGATGCATTACGAAACCAGCAGCCAAAGGTGCTGTGGGAATGGAGGCATGGAGCCTGCCTGACCCCACCTCAGCCAGGGAAATTCCCCTCTTGTTGCCTGGGAGCAGCTGCTGTTGTTTTGGACAAATCCTGGATGACGCAATTGCCCGAGATGCTCTGGAGTGAGCCTTTGTCTTCTTCCTCCCTTCATGTGAGGGAATGCTACCACAAAAGCAGCGCGGGCACCCCCCAGGCTTCTCTGGAGGGTCTGGTCTCTTCAGCAGCCCTGGGCTGGATTGTGTTTGTTTTGAATCTTTGCCTCTCACCTTCTGGCAGGGCCTCAACCCTGTTGCAAACCCGTGCGGCTGCTTCAATGCCACCTTCACAGGGGACATGAGGCACTCCTGGGTTGCCCAAAGCAGGAATGACAGGTGCTGCAGGGCAGAGTGGGATAGTGGGGCCAGGGCTGCAGCTGGGAGCGAAGGAAAAAGGCAGAAACAAGTGATGTTCACCTTTTGTTATTATAAAATAAAACCATTTGTTTTAAAAAGATGTCTTGTGAACCATTACTGGGTGGCCATCTGATGGCTGCAGCCGGCCCTGTAGCCATGCCCGGGGCCGGGATGGGGGTGCAGGGCTGCAGGGACTGGGTGGACATGGCCCCCATCCTGCCCCACAGTGCCCAGACAGTGCCTGGCACTGCAAGCAGCTGTGGTGTGTGCCTGGGGCAGGGCTGGGAGGGGGAGCCTGGTAGGGTTCAGTTTTGAGGGCTTCTGGCTTGAATCAGGAATAGTATGGCCATCAGGACTAGGGCAGTGATCGTCCCCCTGCATGTGTGAGGCCACACCTTGAGTCCTGTGTCCAGTTCTGGGCCCCTCACTTCAAGAAGGACACTGAGGTGCTGGAGCATGTCCAGAGAAGGGCAATGGAACTGATATAGGGTCTGGAGCACAAGTCCTATGAGGAGCAGCTGAGGGAGCTGGGGTTGTTTACTCTGGAGAAAAGGAGGCTCAGGGCTGACCTTATCACATTCTACAACTACCTGAAAGGAAGTCAGCATCTTCTCCCAGGTAACCAGCAGGACAAGAGACACAGCCTCAAGCTGTGCCAGGGAAGGTTTAGGTTGGACATTGGAAAGAATTCCTCTTCAGAAAGGGTGATGTGAGATTGGCTCTTGTCCATTGTGATGGACTGCCCAGGGAGGTGGTGGAGTCATCGTTCCTGAACATGTTCTAGGAAAGACTGGACGTGGCACTTACTGCCATGGTGTGCTGGTTTAAAGGTAAACCAGCTGGTTTAAAGGTAAACCAGCTGGTTTAAAGGTAAACCAGCAGGGGAAATGAACTCAACTCAAAAGAGAGATTATAAATCAGAATAACAATTTAATAAAATAATACAATAAGTACGATTATACAGACAAACAATTGGTTTTAACCCACGAAACCCAAATATATAACCCAGCACCCTGGGGCATAAACGGAGTGGTGTTCTTTGGGCCCCCTGAGTCCAAAGTAAAAGGAGAGGGGAAAACCTGTTGGTGAGAGTGCTGTTACAGTCCAGTCAAGAGTGGTGTTTGCAGTCTGGTTGAAAAGTGGTGGTTGCAGTCCAGTCGAGAGCGGTGGTCTGCAGTCTTCCTCTGGATCCCACGAGTGGTTAAAAAGGTTCTCAAGACTCCAAGATTATATATCTTCCAGTTCAGGCAGGAATGCTCAGTACCTCCCTCAGGGCGGGGGGTTCCTTAATGGGTGTGAGGACAAGAGCAAGAGCAACTCCTATCTCGCAGGCCTCTTAGCACCTAGTTTATAGCCTAAATGACTCTGACTCTGTGATCCTGTCATCCCGGCCACCTCTCCGCCCGCTCCCGCCCGCCCCGCTCCTCCCGCCGCGGCCCCTCCAGGGCGGCAGGGGCCGCTGTGGGGCGGGAGCGCACCCGCCGGGCGGGGGTTCCGCCGCCGCCGGGAGCAGAGCCGAGGGGAGCCGGCCGGGACCGGGGCCAGGCCGGAGCCGGGGCCGGCCTGCAGGTGGGTTGGCGAGGCCGCTCCGGCGTGGTCGCGGAGGGTGAGCCGGGCCGCGGGCGGCAGCTGCCCCGCTCGGCGGGCGCGGGCGATGGCCGCCGCCGCGCTGCCGGGCCGCTCGCTGCGAACGTGGCCGCCGGGCGGGGAGGCGACCCTGGGGCCACGATCGCCCCGCACCCGGCCGGGCGCTGCGCTGCCTCTCCCGCGGGGCTGGTCCCTGGGCAGAAGCCGCCGGAGCCTTGGGGCAGAGAAGCCCTGGAGCGGCAAGCGGGGTCCCCGCTGGGCTCTCTCCTCCCGGGATCCCCGGTGTCGCCGGGGGCGGGGGGCGCGGACGGTGCCCCGGGGCGGCAGGGAGCCGGAGCCCGGTGCCCCATTCGTGGCCCCTGGGTAGAGGCGGCGGTCGGCCCTGGGAGGACAATGGCAGGCACTCCCTGCGGCATGGCTGCGTGCAGGGGCAGGGACAGAGAGCAGACACGGAATCTCGAGCTCTTAGCAGGGGCCGTGGACTTGTCAGCTCCGGGCTTGGATTTGACCTCAGCCCTTCCAGGCGCTGGAGACGCGCTCAAGAGTAGCAGGGCTGTAGGCAGGGATCCTTTTCATTCCCTGGGACCCAAATTTTGCATCCCAGGCAGGGGGCTGGGTGCCAGCCCGGCTCCGAAGCGGTGCCTTTCAGAGCTGTCCTGCCTGTGCCCAGGCGAGCAGCGGCCGGGTCTGTTGTCTCGCCTCCCAGGCTGTTCCCCAGGCCCCAGACTAAGGCTCCTTTCATGCCTCGCACGCCGCCTGCTCGGCCCCCCCGCTTTCTACCTGTAACACTGGCGTCCCTGTTCCTTCCCAGCCTCGTCGGGGAGGGCAGGGCCTGCTGCACTGAGTCAGCTCTCGGGGCCTGGGAATTGCTAGCGCAGGCATAGAGAGAGCCATTGTCCCTCCATAGCCTCCTCTTCACAGTCGCTGTGGGAGAGCGGAGCTGGTTCTCCTCCCATGGCAGCGCTGCGGGGGCCGGTGGGATAACAGCAGGAGCAGTCGTGCTGATGGAGCTTACGGTCCCTGTCAAGTTGGAGACGTGGCCCTTGAGTGTCGCAACCGACCCTGTCATTTATATCTGACTTCTGCAAAAGCGAATGGCATTTCTGCACCCTGCACAGGGCTACTTAATACAGGCAAGCCCAGGAGCACGTGGGCAGCTTCAACTCCAAGTGCCAGTACCAAGAGGTGTTCTTGCATCCCACAGCACCTGTACAGCCTGCAATGGTGCCCCTGCAGCAGGAGAGTTGGGGTGGAGGCATCAAACTGTCTTTTCTTGGGGGGAGAACAGGAAGGAAATAGAAAGCAGGCACAGAAATCCACCTCCATGCACTTCTTCCTGGGCTGGGAATTTCTGTGTCCTTTAAGTCACAGGAGGGAGTGTTTCTAGGTGAAACACAGCCTTGGCTTTGATCAGGTTGTTGGACTCCAAGGGCCTGGCTGCAGCAGCTGAGGATAAGAAAAGCCCCGGAGGCCTTTCCCAAGGGGATAAGAAGTTGGAGGGGAGGGCTTGCACATGAAATGGCAGGGGACTTACTTGCCTTTAAAGCTCTTAAGTTTGTAAATCTCTGAGTTCTGTGGGAGGGCTACCAAAGGTCACGGCTATACAATATTTAAACCAGGTACACCCCTAAACAGGGCCTAAATTCCTCTGACTCACTTGTTTCTGGGGGAGGAGGAATTAACATCTCTAGCCCTTTCAGTCACAGGAGCTTAGAGTTTTTCTGGTGTGCATTTATGTAGCCAGCCCACAGCACACTTACCTGGCCCCCAAGGCAATTAAGATGCTTTCTACACTGGGGAAACTGGGCATGGATGGAGCATGGACCAGGGAGACCTTCTACCCTGATGCAGGAAGTTGCAGCTTGGTGTGTGACGGGAGGATGCAGGTGGCCTTGGGTATAGGAAGTTCTTGCCTGGTTGCTCATTCTGTTGAGTACCTGGTGCCCCTGAATATTGCAGGTTTGCCTCTGTGGAGGGAAGAACTCCTTCAAGGACTATTCAAGCTGTTTTAAAGCTAGCTAGGTCACTTCCTGTAGCTTTATCGGAAGAATATCGGCTATACCTTGTTAGATAGTCCTGGTAAAATTCTAACCAGCTAGCTGCCAGGAAAGTTCCTTTCCAGCCTTCCTTTCTGGCTGTGTTTTGCTAAGTGGGTGAACTTTCATAATTTCCTCTGAGCTGCGGGGAATGCCTTGGTATGCTGCCTTCCAGGGCTGCATGGAGAAGTGGGGGAGGTTGGCAGCCCAAACCTCTGCCTCTCCTCCACTCACCTGGTGCAGCTGGAGGGGAAAGCTCTGAACTATTTGCTCCCAGGCGAAGGTTGCTCATGGCCACAGGCTTGAAACATGAGCTGCTAGGTAGGAGTTGATTTTTCCATTCAGTGACCTTTTCTTTTACCACCCAAGAGCTGTGCTAAAGTTTAAGCTATAAAGGTGAGGTGTGAGGTATGAGGTGCTCCTTGCATTTGAAGTAAGAGTGTTGTCAAAAGGAGATGGTTACAGCAGTGTTCTCTCTAAGCCTGAGAATCCAACGTTCTAAGTCCATGTGTTCCAGAGCAAACACCTTTAACAGAAGCGAATATAGATGCCTGGCCTGTGCTTTTTAACTCCTGAGGGCTTTTGCTACTCCACATGCTGCCAGCATCACTGTTGTCGCTGAGGTGGGGTCTGGGTGCTGCCTGCTGGTGGGGAGGTATTACAAGCATGCAGAGTGGACCTGCCCATGTACCAGTAGCCCGCCACCTGCCTCTTCCTCTCTCCACAGATTTTGCCTTCCCCTCGTGCTGGCTTCCCTCCCTGCAATGGCTACTGGTGAAGAGATCGCCCCTGCCCTGCAGGACTCGTGGGGGGACTTCTGGCTCTTCCGCTTCTTTGTTAATGCTGCTGGCTACGCGAGTATTGTGGTGCCGGGATTCCTCCTCATCCAGTACTTCAAGAGAAGGAACTATTTGGAGACAGGTAAGGACAGGAGCTTCCCTTCCACATCCTGCCTCCCTCTGAGCTCTCTGCACCTCCTTGGTCTGCCCTGCTCAGTTTGTTTCCCTAACCTGCTTTGTCAGACCAGGCTTGAGCTGCTCACAGAGCTGCATCCCAGTGGTGTCTAGGTGCTACTCTGAAACAAATTTCTCTGAGGCCCGTGTGCCAGCAGATCTGGAGGCTAGTAAGGAGGGAGGCTTCACCTCTTAAGCTGGTGCAGCTGGTGATTCCCAGGCTGTGGTTAATTACAGAATTGTGGAATATGCTGAGTTGGAAGGGACCCACAAGCATCATTGTGTCTCTGTGTTCTCTTACCCTATTCAGGCCGAGGCATTTGCTTCCCTGTCATCAAATCATGTGTGTTTGGCTCTGAGGTGAAGTCTGTACACCAGGAGGATGGGTCTCTGCCACCCCGGGCAGAGCCCACAGAGTCCTCCACAGCCCGACAGGTCTTCAAGCTGCTCTTCTGTGCTGCTGGTCTACAGGTAAGGG